AAGGAAGTGTGAAATGCATCCAAAAGACAGTGCAAATAACAAGCTAAATTACAAGCACTGCCGTGAGAGATAGGGGTGAAAAGGAGACTCCTTTAGCAGACTACCAGAAAGATAATGCCAAGCACCACTTTCCTCTGTAACATAGAATATGAGCTTTCTAGCCAGTTGGTTCCAAACAAACCCTGCAGAAGGAGGACTTTACCTTCAACCAGGACAGAAAGGCAGTTGCTGTAAGGGCACAGGGAAGCACAGGAGTGTTGAGGAGAAACTGAAGGACTTTGTTCATTCCCTGGAGAAGGTGACTTGAATATAAAGAAGCTGAATCCAGTCTTGGTTTGGCTGCTGCTCAGAAGTGCTGAAGGAAGCCAATTCCCAGCAGTGTTGACTGTGTATCTGATTACTTCTAACAACAAAAGCTAGCTGAGATATGCTGTCTCATAGGACACCATCTCATCCTTCCAATGAGTACACTACCCACAACTTTTGAATCCCACCCCAAACACAAGGAGTTTCAGTTTCTAAGAGTAATGGTGAGAGTTCTAACAAGTAATTCAGGAAAGATCTTTTCCCCTTGGTGAGTGGCAACCTTGCTGCACAAGTTACAAAGAATTTCAAATGAAACAATAAAATTTCAGGGGAGAACGAGTTAACAGTTCTGGCAGCAGATATTTTTGTTGCAACTGGCTGTCCTTGCAAAAGCCACTTTAAGGAGAATATATTGCTGGAAAGCAATAAAGGTTATTTAAATAGATGGAGTTTCATCATCTCTCACTCCAAAACAGGCTGGGTTGGTTACACTGATCTAGTGTTTTCTTTACCATGGTTTATGTGAGGCTAGGAGCACATGTTAGATTGTGGTTTAGTTAGCTATTTAGTATATTGATGTCCTTGGACATACTAGTTTCAGTTATGCAGCATGTGCAGCACTATAAAAAATGTTTCAGAAATCTAATATTCAAGCAAAACCAAAATATTGGTTGTACCATGAGCTTTGTTATGCCCCAACTTAGCAAGAACAATTTTCTGCAGGAAATAGCCTGCAACCTTTTTAGGAATATACCTTCCAAAATATTCTGAGATCTTCAGTTTTCTTTTCCAATAAGTGGAGAAGAACAACTTTCAGGTTTGTGCTCAGCAGCTATTTTCTTCCTTTCTTTCAGAGCCATTCTCAGTCCCCTCCCGGTATGAAAAAAGTGGTTTGGCATTAGCTTAGTTCAGTTGTTTGAATTCACTGTTCTGTTCAAGAGAGAAATCAACTTTTTTAAAAGTTAGCTTAAGTCGTAAAGAATATCTACAAGAGTTTTTCTGTTTTGTTTGGCAAAAAATTTCAAATTCAAAGTTACATAATGTTATGCTGTTAAAACAGATCAACTCTTGCAACATGGCCTGCATCTGAACTGAAAGCAAGTATATACATCATTCACTGATTTGACATAGACCATTTAAAGAAAGATTGGATTTATTCTTAAAGACAACCTCATTGATCAAAGCAGCTGATACGGGATCTGTGTAGAATTATTCTTTTACAGAACTGCTGGCATTCTTTTCTTCAAATGAAAGACAAACATTTGGCTTTGGTAGTTACTACTTCCAAGTTAGTTTTCCTTTTAGATCAATTTAAAACAGGCAGATGTTCCTTATTAAAGGTCAAAGAATTCCTGTCTGAGTCTAAAAAGAAACTTCTGCTGATTTTTGTTACCAGAAACAGTACATTGCCATACCCTGACATTCTAGAAAAGGATGATCTGTTTGGCATTATCACGCTGTTTTTTCTTTTTTTTAAAAAAACACAAAAACAAAACCAAATTATTTCTCTCATTGCTGTTTAAGAAATTAAATCCCTGTCATGCAAACCTGGTCCCAAACAATAATTTCTACCTGGGGAAGGTTTCAAACAAAGATACCTTACTAAGTGTTTTTCACAGCTGTCAGTGTTGTACATCTGGGTGAGGAAAAAGCAGCGGGTGAACACATAACCAGAGTTTCCCAATTCTGATGATACCAGCTCAGATATTGGGCACCTGCAGCTCGAGCAGGTCACCTGGCCTCTTCCCTTTCACCTGCAAACAGGGGTTATCCTGGTTATATGCCGACGGCAAACCCTCAGCTCGTCTCTCAGCCTGCAAAATGCCTGTGGAAAAAGCATCTCTGTAATCCGCCGGAGTCTGGACACGCTTGAACTTACATGTATTTCCTCTGCCAGGCCTGCGGGAGACAAAGCCCGCGCGTTGTAGACGGCGGGGCGGGCCCGGAGAGGCCAGGACGCCTTCCCATGGCAGTGCAGGTCCTGCCGCCA